CAAAGTGGGAACAAAACTTCTTGTTTTTCAGAAGCTTCTGCTCTGGCTAATTCTATGTCAGCAACAGCTTCCTCCTCCTCTTTCTCCTCTTATTCTTCTCCTGTTTTGTTGTTTTCTATGCCATGTATTTTGATCACTGTTCAATATTATTACTTGGTAAATTATACACATTTGGAAATCTCCTATTTGACAGGAGTAAATGTGAATGCAAAGGTGAAACCATAGTTATGCCTTAGGTCACTTAGTCTTTATACTACCTAAGGGAATTATGTTGATTTTTTACAGGTTTTTTTGGCATAGGACACACAAAATATGCTATAATCTTGCTAGAATTATAGTTTATATTGAAAATGATTCTACTCTTCACCATTTAACAAATACTGAGCACCTTGGATGCAGCAGCTGGAGTTATAAATTTCCAATTGTGAACAAAAGTAGACACAGACTCTGTTCTTAAGAAATCTATAATTTAATAAGCTCAAGTTCCATTTATAATCTGATGATTCCCAAATTTCTCTAGCCAAGACTTTTTAGAGTTTCAGAGTTGAATATTCAACTATCTACTTATACTTCTACTTTGATATTCCCTGAAGGTCAGTTTTCTCAACACTGAACTTAGGAGATTGTATTTATGACCCTAGCCCGCTGTCTCCCAACAGGGAAGAATAAATGCAACCCATTTCTCTTCTAGACTTCCTATTTCAGTAAACGTCACTTTTATCAGCACATAGATAGAGATGATGCCTCCTTTCTCACAAGCCATTCCTTATCTATCACTAAGACCTATCCATTTTACCTCTTAACATCCCATAGCTCTGTTCATTTTCCTCCATCTCCCTCCCTCCCATTGTTCTAGACTCAAGCCTTTGTCACTTTTTGAGGAAACTTCTGCAAAAGCTCACACACTAGTCTCTGAAGATGAATGCATATTCTTCTCTTTCTCCCTGTAGCCAGGAAGGACACAAATATGGTCGTTTACTCTTTCTTCTTTTTCTTATTCATTGCTCTATCTTAAGCATGTATAAAAGTGCATGATAATATGGTCTACATAGATGCTAAATATATAAATGAGTGAATCTTGTTTTCTTAAAATGTTAACAACCACGATCATTGACATGGTCTAATCTCGGTACTCTAGTGTGGTCTGTTTTTCTTCAGTGTTCTTCCCTAGCTCTTGCTCTCTGTGTCTTAATCATGCTGGCCTTATTTATGATTCTTAAGCAAATCCCTTTCCTTCTTTGTATCTTGGTCTGGGTTTGTAGTCTACTCTAGCTTATAAACTTCTACCCCTCCTTTAACGGTAAGGCCACATATTACATCAATAGTTGTCCATGCTCTTCCAGGCTAATTCCCTAAGATGTCCATCCTTATGTTTTCTGATTTCAAGACTTCTTTTCTCCAGTTGAAATTATGTGATCAACTGGTTAGTCCCTGACTCCTTGCTCTACAAGAACAGGGGAGTGAGTGTCTTCTTTCTCACTTGTACCTAGCATCATGCTTGGCCAACAATTGACATTCAACATTTACTTAAGAAATTCATTATAACTAAGAATATCATAATTTCATAAAAATTTTAAATATCCGTGAAAATAGATTCAATGTTTGGCTTCCGTGATAGCAACTTCTGCCTTTCCTACCATTTTTTCATTTAAGTAGAGTGAAGTCTACCATATATGCTCTCTCTCTCTCTCTCTCTCTCTCTCTCTCTCTCTCTCCCTCCCTCTCTCCCTCTCTCCCTCTCTCCCTCTC